CACCTGGCTGAAGAGGCCAGGGAATTTGGGGTCACTGGGACACCAAGGGTAATAAACAAGAGATTAGATCTAAAAGCCAACAAGAGGAAGACAACTTCAAAGGCAGGGCAATATACAGACACACACAGGCAAGACAGTTTAATTAGCCAAACGGGAAGCCATGTCACATATAGTGTAACAAAGAAAGAAGTGAGTGTAGGAATTCAGACAGTAGAATTTCCTCCATCTTTAGGAAGCTGCTTTTCCCATTGGAGCAGAAAAGATGCAGGAGGAGGACGGACGGATAGATGGACCAATAGAACAGCACGAGAGGACCGGACCAGCCTACAAGGGCACATTTGAAATTGAATAAAATAAACTGAATGGAGGAGGACAGCGTTCCTTCTCGTCCTGAAGACGAGTTGAATGGTTTTGCCGTTGAGGTCAGGGCTTCAGATAGAGACGGAACCCAGAGTTCTGTAAATTGCTTTATTCAATGGTCTGTTTAGTTATGATAATAAATGTTTGAAAATTGATATTCGATTCCAATTATTCTTCATAAAAGAACACGCTGCAGAGAGAAAAATATCCACTCATAGGAATAATGATTTTTCCACAAATCGTTCATTGGATCAGTTCAGGACTGTAGCACATAAGAACCACGAGGACAATGTTTGAGCTGGAGTTACTTATTAGTTTGTCATCAAAAGAAGACAGGACCAAAATCTGGATTATCTTTGTGTTGAATTAATATGAATTTAATTTGGGAATAGCTGGAGCTTTGTGTAACGTCAGCGCTTTGTGTGACATTCGCAGTAACTGGACACATTTACTGTTAGCCAGCTAACGCTAGCTAGACTGGAGGCTGCAGTTTGGACAGTTTGTCCCAACCAGGCATCTGTAGTTTACGCTAGGAAACAGGACGTGATGGGAGGGGCAGAGAGCAGTTAGGAGCGGCTGATGGTGTTAGTTTGTTTTGAGTCTCACTGGATGCTGAAAAGAAATGAGGTAGAGCGGCTTTAAGATTTGACAAATCTGGCATATTTTCTTAAATACAGCCAAAATGTTGGACTGAACTTAGTTTAGTCATCACTAGCCAGACATGTTTTACAGTCTGCATCAAGTTGATTTTAGTTCTTTAAAGGTTTGACATTGATTAGCTGGATTTGTTTTAGCCATATCGTGTGACACATACCACCGCTCTGTAATAATTTCCTCGGGGCACCCTGAGCAGGTATTGGATAAAGTGACATTTTAGTATCTGATCCAAAAGCCAAGTATTGTATCAGCACTGAGGAATTCAAAGTAATAACCAGGCCTTGCACTACAATAAACTGTTCAAGGATGATTCTGTCACAGCAGCCATTTTAAACAGTCCACTGGGACTGACAGACACAAAGCCAGTGTTAGTGAGAGAAGGCGAAGAACAGGAGGATTCAATGTGGATAGAAGAAGGAGAAGGGAAAAGGACAGAATGAAAGAAGCAGCGAGGACAGTAACAAGGGAGACAAAGAAAAAAAAGCAGACGACAACGGTAAAAAGGATTGGAAGCTGCTTGTGCGAGAACAGTTCACCAATATGACGTCAATCCAAACCCCCAAAACCCTCCCCCCCGCCATTAACCCCAGTCCCTGCTATTTATAGTCTGAAGACGCTCCCCTGCAGGAGCAGAGCTGGCCTCACCCACAGTCACAAAGACACACAGATCAAGAGAAAAATGTAAGACTGGCAAAGTCATGATCCCGTGATGTACTGGAAAAGCTCCAGCTGAAACTCCTTACGTACACGCCCCAGTTTAAGTGACAACCTACAGCACTATGCTCTGGTCAGAGAAAGGATTTATCAGCTGCTAGAGACCAAGAGAATTAAATGTATAATGTTAAAACTGACAAGAATAATGGATGGAACAACAAAAATAAAACCCAAGTTGCAATAAACAAGCCCAAGAAAAAGAAGAATCCTATTTATTTTGTAAAGTCATACCGTCTTTTTCGCTTCATGGTTACAAGCTAACTCCAGAAAACACACTGCAGCGGGGCTGTGCTGGATTTCTGTTGAAAATAAAACCTAAAGTTTCATTAAAAGGCGGTCGGGAAAAGAATGGAATGGTCTCCAACCGAGCGCCTGGAAAAGGGTTCTCCATCACGCATCTCACCCAAGTATCTAAACATATTCTTTTATTTTTATATTAACAGGTTATAATGCATTTTCTATCTGAAAATAAAAGTTTGGCTACTGGCACTGCATGTTGAGCCAAGGTCGTTGAAAATCTAAAGGAAGCGCTAATGAGCGAATCCTGTGAACGTGAGGTCATCTCAGGGTCTGTTTTCAGGAAGGAGAAAAAGATGAAGAGCTTTAAATAAATTAACTGGAAATAAACTCGAGGAAAAAAATGAAACTAACTGGAGGAAGTAAATGAAGAGCAATGATTAAATGCAGCTCTGTTCTTGAAGAGGCACTACAGATGCTGAACAGTCACAGTAACATTGCCTAATTAACTGTTAATCAGCACTAAGAGGCTGAGTGGATGTGCAAGAGGCAGTGGTTTTCTTGACTTATTCAGAGCCCGTCATCCTGACTCAAGTAACACCGAAGACCCCCTCGATGAATCTCAGGGAGTCTTTATATCCACACAACTCAAATAAATATGGTGTTTCATTGTAGGGCTACTGGGCACCGTTTGGTCCTAAGTCAAATTTACTACTAAAGAGAGGGTGTTGTGTGCCAACATCCAGTAGCTACCAAACACAACAAAGAGAGTGATAACAACAGAGAGAAACATTTAGTTTTTGTATTGTGTGTCAAGACAAGAGAAAAGGAAAAACCACTGCATTCAACTAAGTAACAGATTATCTGCATGTATCCAAACTCAAAATTCACCAGAAGTGTTTGCACATTGGTTAACAGCTTTGGTAATATGCAAATGTGTTAATTTTCACTTTAAACATGGCTGCAATTACTAGGATGTTAAATACTTTAGGCCCAAGGTTTTGCATGTTATGCAGTAAAGCTTACAGAGATTGCATAATCATCCAGCCCTAGTATATATTAATATGCAAACACTTTGTTACTGTCATGCAAGTACAGTATAGCATGTGCACGTTTTCTGCAAAACAAAAAAAATACTGCAGCACAAAAATAAATGCTTACACTTTGCATATGGAGAGCAGATCATTTCAAAATGTTAACCTGGATAAATTAGCATGGTAACATGCTAACATGTAGCATGTGGACATTCTGAGCTCTCGGTCGCAGTACAACAAAAGTCAGGAGATGGCGGGTGTTGAGATGTTTCATTCTGGACCAAAGTGTTGGACCAGCATACTAACTAACAAAGCAACATCATCGTGGCTGCTAGTGAGGCTAAAAATACTCCATACAAACTCATTTAACCATCTGCACGAGCCTTTCCTCCTGAAGCTGCCGAGGATAAAAGCAGCTAAGTGAAGGCGGCACTCAGAGCGGCTCAGTGGAGCAGAAGCAGGCTGTGAGAGGGAAACTCTCAGAGGCTCAGCCGTTTGCTCCGTAATTGTCCAATTTATGTGAACCGCGTTGAGTGGCAGGGCAGCGTGGCCAGTAGTAGCAGTGATGAGGATATTTAAATCCCAGGAGGGAGAGACAGTACTGGGTGGCAATGGTGTGTTGCGTCTGCATGGCAGCCACCTGCTTGATAACAGAGCTTGTTTAATTTCCTTTGTGTGCTGGGAGACTGAGGAAGGTGTGCCTGTGTTTGTGTGGAAAGATGAAGTGGAAGAAGAAGATAGAGTTTGTGTTCATGCGCTGCATCAGTGTGATGGCCTCCAGGTTTATTTGCTGCCCTGTCACCTCTCCTGCTTTGTGTTGTCCTTCCATTTCTTTGCTCAGCTGAAAACAAAAAGTTTTGAGCTAAACAACACAGAGATGCCAAGTGTGAACACAATCCCAACCAACTACACAATGTGAAACACAGAAGCAGACAGGTGGAGCTCCATTTGCTTATAAAGCAGAGAGAGTGATAATTAAATGGAAACCAAATATACCTGTGGTCTGACACGGTGCAACGTGATGGCTAGTTGTGATGTCAAGCACAGGTTGTTTGTAATAAATCAGCTAAAAGATGGTCCTAGCTTGAACACGACCTGTCAGTCTGCTTCGCTGCTAAAGGCTGCGCTCACATTTTCTGTCAAAGGGGGAAAGTTGTGTGCACGTCAGCTCCTGAGGAGATAATTAAATATCAGGTACTCACACTAAGATGGGCCGGACAGCGTTGTTCATGTTGCCGTAGGCTGCTCTGCCCAGCAGCTCTCTGAAGCAGCTCTCAGCCAGCGCTGCTGGGTTCTCCTCCCCGTCCTGACCCACCCCTGATGGTGTGCTGGGGTGCCCCACCCTGCCAGAGATAAGAGTTATGTGATCATTTCATAAAGTGAAAATGACTGGAAACATCAGAAATATCAACCAACAAAGTGGACAAACTCTTCAAGAAGCTTAGTGAGTCCACTAACATGGTACAGGCCAAGAAGCAGCTCTTCATAGCGCGCACACACACACACACACACACACACACACACACACACACACACACAGAAACTGTGAAGAGAGAGCTGGGTGAGAAAGTGCAGAGTAAAATAACATGGAGAGAGAAGAAAAACCCTCAGGATGTTAAGAGATGGATAGAGGGAGGGAGACACTAAACGCAGGCCTCAGGAGTCCTCACAGCTCAGGGACAAGACAATTAGTTTGTTCTAAAAAAAAAAAGACCCGTGCACATACAGCTGTCCTCTGACCTGCCTCTACTGTCAGCATCTGGTTAAGCATAAGCTAAAACTCCATGGCTAAATTAGAGAAAAGCTTGTTGTGTATAAGAGAAATCGTCTTGTGAAGTGAACTCTCTACCCACACCTCCTTCTAGACACGTTTGCGATGCTGTAACAAATTAACACTACTTCTGCCTCTGCTTCTCACCACAAGAGGTCACTTGTAAACAAAATGGGAACACAGGATTTTTTAATCATTTGAACAAACAACCAGTACTTTTAATTATACTGAGTGTTCCTACGTTCTGTTCCACTGGCGCCCCGTTGATCCTGCAGCTACATACAAGATAAAACTTCTTGTGTACAAGTTTGTGATTTTCTGCAGAACTGCCAAGAATCCACAGTTGTGGCAGGAGGCCAAGCTCCCGTTATGTGTTATATTGATAAAATAACGTAATAGTAAATCACTTCTCCAGCAATAAGCCTGGTCACAGATGGACTGTAGGCAGTTGGGTCTCCAGAGGGAAACAATGCAATTGCTGTCAGCCCACACAGGCAGTTCAGGGGAAATTAAATGCTTATTGTTTGTTAGAAGCAGGGAAATGAGAGACCAAAATGAAATTCTCCCCTGTAGAAGGAGATGGGTTGGTACTGTCTGATGAAGTGGCCACAACAAACTTAATAAAAGCTGAAGATTTTTTTTCTGTCGGGGAAAAGAAAGCGAGTGGTAGCAGATTCCTGGGGACTAAAGAACACTGTGAAACCACAGAGACATTTAAGTTGAAGTCTAGTCACGACCCCACGAGCGCCATATACCTCACTCTAATGAATCGGTGGACGTGTGCAGCAAACGATGCACATGCCAGAACAATGAAATAACTAATATTTCTGACAACAGCGAGAGAGGGTCATAATGATGAACAAATTCATACATCGATTACTTGTCTACAATCACCTTCACTTCTAAGTCGAGGCTGTTGGGCTCCCAGTAGTAACAGAATGGATTCACACCGCACTGTGTGTAGTCTGTGCTTCTGGTCCAAGCATCACAGCCTGTGCAGTTATAAATCCTGGGCTGCATGCAGACCTGCCCTGGCTGTGGACATACAGTCCAGGGTTTAGTGAAGCAGGAGCTGGAGTTCACTGCTCAATGGCACCTCGGTGCTTTAGTTTCCTGCCCAGATTTACTCAGCATTTTGTCTGTTCTGACCAACTGAGCTGGTGCCTGCGTACACAGATGTGTACCACACAAGAACAAATCACAGGACTTGAGTCAGAGCTCAAAACAATAGGGCTAAGATGTCTCCATGCACTCAATTCTCCCAGAAATGACTAATTATTATATGTCAGAGAAGCAAATGAATCCCAATTCATGTTAAGTCAGCAGTTTAAACGGTGAGTGGGGGTTATGTGGAGAAAACCACGCGTACCCAATCAGACGAGGTTCAGTGAAACAAAGGTGCAGAGAAGCAGAGGTGTGGGTGAGCAGCGGGGGAAATTAGCTGGGAATCAAAGTCGTTTCAAGGTGGTTGCCTTCAAACAACACAAGCAGGCATTTCACTGTGAAACAAGGGAAGCCGTTTTCTGGCTCCCTAAGTCTGCACCTCTGGTCTCGGCATGCCGCCCACGTCCTCGCTCCCTGAGAAGCAATTAACAGAATCAAACGCCCTTGACCGCGGCTTCCTGCCCGTTCTGTTATAGCTCGATTGAAAACGCACCGCTGCGGGGTAAACTGACCATCGCCCTGTTTGGCAGACATTATTAGACACAGATTGTGTTTTTCTGGGAGAGAAAAGGAACAATAACACTCGGCTCCTCCTCTGGAGCAGCTGTTCCCTCGGAGGCCGATGTCTGAATCTGCCGATGGACATTTTATCTGGCAGGATGCTGCTGGACTGCAGTGATGCTGATCTGCTCAAAGGAGGGAGGTCAGCACCTGAATGAGCAGAAAACTGTAAATGTCGACCTGCCAGTTACACAATGTCTCCATTCAAAGAGCTGCACAGAAGAAAAGCCTGGTGTGCCAGGCCATTCGTTTTAGTTTTTAATGTTAAAAAGAGGATTTAGCTTTAAACTGTGTCCAAAGGTAATCAGAAAACAGAAAAACTGTTCATTTTAGATGGCAAATGGAATTTTGTGTTTTCATGTAATTTCAAAAGAGCCATTTGCTCATCTGACATGAAAAAGAGCTGCAGCTCCTGAAGACACTTCGTGTCTGAGTTGGTACAAAGATGACGTACTGTTCCCACTGACTTTGTTACAGGGGTAGACAGTGAATTAGTGCCAACTTTCACCATAGTTTGCTTCATTGTTATGGGTTGTTCAAACAACTGAAAGTAAGGCTAGGAAGAGTTTTAACTATGAAACCATGCTGGGGGGGTCTGCTAGCACTGTATGGGAGGGGGTTACTGAGATATTTCACAATGGGCTGACACGTCACTGGCACCAACGTTTCAGCAAACATCATTATAGGCATGAATTCATCGTGGTCGCAGCAGAAACACCAAGAGGGAAGGAAAAGAAAATGACATCAGCTGAGTCGGTTTCTTTCCTGTTTACTCTCGCATGTTGTCCGACTAACGCTCATTCAAAGGAAAGGCTTCCAGCATCAGATCTGACTGAAGGATCGGCTCATTAAGCTGCATGAAGACCATTAGAAACAGCTGGAACGCTGCCATCAATGCAGAGACGTTCCCCAGGGTGATGAAAGAATTTAAGCACCACATGGATTATGTGAAGGCTGCATTTCCATTCAAATCACTGAAGACTGGCTGCGGTTATTGGGTTGTTAGGGACAGAAGAGGGAAAGGACAAAAGGTGTAAGATTAAAAGGAAACCATGAATTTGGTTGTGTCTTTCACAGCTGAGAGCCATTAGGGCATCGCTTTTGTTGTCCCCGCTGAAAAGTCACAACTTGTACTGTTAACTCTGACGTCATAGACTTTGCCTTTTACATTTTATAATCACTGGCTGGCGACTTTTGGAGAAGGCCTACTTTATGTATTGGCAGCAGCAGAAGCACAGTTGGTGTTGGAACAAAGAGGGAGTGTTAAACCACAGGGACAGCTGCATTTTCAGGCTAGCTGATCGAGTAGTGGCTAAACCTTTTGGAGTGGAGGTCAGGTTGGATGGTTCCACACCTGAGACCTTTGTGCCCGACCTGTCTCCCACCAGCAGTCAGATCAGTTGGCTTTTAACCATGAAAGCTTTGTTCAACCTTTTACCAAGTAGTTTGAGTTGCCTAAACCTTAACTATTGTGGTGGAAGATCACCAAACTCTTTTTAGTCCTTTTGAAGACCGCACTGTGTAAACTCTTTTGTTTTGTCGTACAGGCCTGGTTGTTCTTCAGAGCAGCAGGTTCAGTCTGACCTCAGTCTCTCATGGTCTGCATCCAGCCCACAGCCTGGAGCACAGCTCGCGTTAGACGAAACCAGTTCTGGCTGAAGGACATGTTCTTGTATTGTTAGTCAAACTGTACTGAACTCATTCAGCTCACACTGAGCTCACACTCACACCTCGCACTGTTTGAAATGTCTCCGTTTCATCATGTGCCAATTCCATTCCAGGTCGTTTTCAAGGTGACTTCTCTGATGCACAGTCTGGCACTCCCCATTAAAGAGGGGTGTTATCTAAATAACCAGTTAAAAATGACAAGTACAAATCAGTCTTTTTCTTTTTGAACCAACATTTATATTTAGATTAGCCACATTAGCGGCGCTCCCAGTGCTTAATTTGTACATGACGATGAATATCACTTGGTGGCGGACTCGACGCGTCAATGTGAGGAGAGGAGGTTCCGGAGTGAAAAACATTTCCTCAGTGACAGGTGGGTTTGCATAGTTTCCACATTAAGGGAGCAGCTTAGAGGCAAAACATTATTTGTTGTGCGTCTGTGGCGACCAAAACAAAACAACACAGAAGAAGATATGATTGAATGTGAATCACGGTTGTTGTTAAACACATTAGGAGTGCGAGGTCACGGCCTACTGGGCTCCGCTGTAAAGAATCTGACACCAACAAGACTTCTCCAAATGCACAATGAAATGTCTCACAGAGGTGCTCGACTGAAACAAAGCTACTCAGCAAATTTACCAAGCGTTCACAACGGGCAGCGACAGCCTGTCATTCTCTTATGCAGCCATCTTATACTTTTCCTACATCAAGAAAAATCCTGCAGCACTAGTCTCAAACAGCCGCTGCTGCTGGTGGAGCAGGAGACAAACAGCCTTTAATTATGTGTAAATTTAAAATGGCTTTCATGAAGACCAGTACTGTGGTACTTTTATTAAACATCTCTCTTCTCTTTCTGTCTCCTCCATCAGTGTTTTGAAAGGGAGTCATTCGTGTTTCCACCCAGCCCCAGTACGCTTCATGATTCTGGCAGACATGAGAAGTAGAGCTGCCAAAATTTAGGAGACAAAAAGTGAAAGAGCTCCATCTGTCAGCTCTCAAGTACGGGTGGACTCAAAAAGGCGGACACTGGCCAGGAATTGGTTCTTGTAGACAGATCCAGAACGTCAGATGTGAACAGGCGGGGTGTGGTGAATGGAGAACGGCCCAGGAGGAGGTTATATGGGTTGAAGACCAGGAGATAATGGGCAACAGGTGGAAACACCGAGTGGTGACTGCACACTGGGGTAAAGCTGGGGCAGATGAGGTGATACAAAACCAGGAAATAGAACCAAACTAACAGCACCAAAATGGGAAGCAAGTCCAAAACCATAACACCGTTGGCTTTGTATCACACTAGAGCCGTTTCAAAACTTTTGGTGAGTTTTCATTTTATTTTGAAGTGGCAATCTGGATTTTGCAAGGTAAATTTACTGACACCACACCACTGTGTGATGAACTGCTGTTTCCTGCTCACAGTGGCACAGCGACACTTCACAGTACTTGGAAGAACCTCCCTATGCCGGCTGTACGAGACGTCACCCCAACATGTCCAAGTAACGCCATGGAGACACCGGCCAGGGTCAGATCACATCCTTACCCATCAATTCCTCCAAATGGGTACTTGCAAGAGGTGGAGAAAAGAAAGAGAGGAAGAAAATACACACAACCAGGGATACAAGAGAGAAAGAGAGACAGGGTCCAAAAATAGGTTTTTGTTCACATGGAAACCACCTGAATAAGATGGAGAGGAGAGAGAGCCACAGAGAGAGAGCAAGGAAGAAAGGAAAGGTTGTTTAAAAATGAAGAATAAGAGATAAAGAGAGAGTGGGAGAGGAGGCGGTAAAAATAAAATGAGAGGAGTGGAGAGGAGGAGAGAGATCAAGAGTAGAAGACAGCAGATTAAAAGCAACGAAGAGCAGAGGGAGGTGGTAGGGACCGCCTGAGCCCGTTTCTGTTGATCTGTGCTCCTGTATCACTGAGTAATCAGCAGCCATTTGGAGATCCTGTTTGATTAGCAACATTTTGATCACACAGGTGAATTCTGGGATATGAGAGCCACTGTGCACTGGCCTGGAAAAACTGACCCTCATTATCCAAGGTGAAGAAAAGCTCAAGTTGCAAGGAGAAGGAGTTTACTGTTCTGACTGCCTCCAGAAAAAGGCACCAGCGCTACATAATTGACTGTGAACTCTGTGTTCCCATTAATAAGGTCACGTCTAGACAAGAATGGCTCCTATGTCAGAAAGATCAACTATATGCCTCAAAGTCAAACCCTCACTCAAATTCCAAATTCAGTGTGGAGAGGAATCAGTCACAGTGAGAACAAACCTGTCCCGGTCCAAACTCTGTGTGTGTCTCCTACCTGTCCAGGTCTTCACTGTCCTGCATGTTGAACAGCATGGATGGGATCAGTTTGTCCATGTGCTGAGGCTCCCAGATGATGGCCTGCAGCTCGTCGTTCACCGTCTTCCTCACCACGCCCTGCAGGCCTTTAATCCCCGCCACACGGATCCTGACAGACACACGGTAACTGTTAGATAGAGCGCCAACGTGTCCTGTTCCAAACTCAAACTGGTCTGAAGGTAAAAATATACTCAGTGTGATTGTTCAAATGGTGCATGTCGACACTAAGCAGTGGTATACAGTCTGTAAAGAAGGTTCAGTCATTAGCCTTAGAACGACCACGTTGATAAAACGCCAGAGGATCAGTGAAAATCAATGAAGAATGACCTGAAAATACTTCCATCACTCAACCCAATAATAATATTAGAACTTCTCCCGAGTGCCTGTTTATCTACCTTAAGGCTCATGAGAATTTCTCTTATTGCAAAGCTGCAGGGTTGACTCACCTGCGTGTCCTTCAACTTCAAAGTGTTATCAGACTTCAACAGCTCGACCAAATAATACCTTGCTTTATTTAATTTGCAGCGCTAACACGCTGAGACTACGCAATCTGCCAGACTGAAACATCAACAGTGTCTCTACTTTCTGTTTCACAATGGTATGAGCAATATAATAAAAAAGTGGGTGGGTGACCTCGCCTCAGGCCTAATCCAATAACCACCAGAGAAATGCTATTAGGGGATTCCTCTCCACCTGCACTGAGACAGCGGCACGGCGAGTAATGAATTATGGGGGGGGGGAGCAGAGTGAGAACTCATAATGTTTACCGGGTGCTGGCAGCGAAATATCAATCCACCTCAAACAAATCTCAGCATAGCCTGGCTCTCACCGTACCACAACCAACACCAGCATGCACACACATACAAATCAATACAAAAAGGGCATTTCAATGCAAAAATATGCTTTTACACAGCTCACACGGGTCTCAGCTGCTGCAGTGACACTGGGAGAGAATTTATTTTCACCATGAATTAGAGAAAGATGTTTTCGGGTATTGTTTTAATTCACTGCTGATGTGCATTAGAGTCACGAGGTGGGCGTTTCAGTGGGAGCAGGCATCTTGTAGGACTATGCAGTGTCACAGCAGAGCTATTTTTACCCTCCTAACGACCAGGCGCGCAGGCAGACGGAGTCTGTGCATCTCCACAATGATGAAACATTGTGTTTGCCTGACATCTGGCTCTCCATACAAACTAGCTTTTCTCATTGTAGAAATAAAAGTGCTGATTTTAAATTGCTCGTCTTCCATGGAGAATAATGAAGCCTGAGGCGGAAGCTTGTACTTTGTACAAATATCAGGGCTCAGCACTTAGATTAAATTTTAGGGTCACTCATGTAACTAAATGAAAAAAATGTAGTCACACAAACAAAAATTTAGGGGCACAGCTTTTTTTTTTTTTAAGAAATAACACGAATCCTTCTGGCTCAGTGTTTAAGGATGACAAAGGTACAAACACAAACGAAGTCTGAACTCATCCAGTAACACTCATGAATCGTGAGCAACAGCTGCACAGAGGACGTTTCCTCTGTGTCTTATATTTAAGGTTTTAGGTTCAAATCAAACTCAAAAGGCTCTAAAGTGTTTGGAATAGTTCATTTGAGGCCATGTTTTGTATAAAACGGTGTGAATATGGGGGACACATCAAAAGGGACACGTCTCTGTGTCTTATTACCTTTTTCTGGTCTCTGGATCCTCATGAGTAGAGTGGCACATGGCGCTGAACTGGGACACAAAAAAGTCATAGCGGCGATGGTAGGACGGCGTGTCCTCCTCAATGTTGGCAAATTTCACAAACTAGAGAGAGGATAGGATGAAGAGGGAAGCATCATTAGCCCGACGTCACCGGCTACGGGAATGAAAAAGAAAAAAAAAAAAATCACAACAGCAGAATTAAAAGTTTACGGTACGTTTGATGGGACATCAGCACTGATGGACAGCTACTGCAGAAAGACCTACACTGTGTACAGACGGTTGTACTGTTGTAAGGAAAGAACTAGTGTTAACAACATCCACGTTTCTCTAAGTGTTAAATAACATCCAGTTTAAGGCTGATTCTAATTGAACATGGCCAGGAAACAAAAAGCAGTAATGATTCACCCTTGAATTTTACATTTATATTAGAAAACTGAATAATTTAAAGTATTACTATAAATATTCAGCTTGACAAACAGAGAAATGAGCATGTGAGTGTTTCAGTGTTGGTTCAGGAATGAAAACCTGTCCTCGCTGGTGTTCAGTGACCTCTAATCAGACCCAGTCACAGCAGTGTAGCTGCTAATTGTGTGATTTATCACCTCTCAACAATGGAGACACAGACAGACATACACTTTCATGGAAGTCTGCAGCGACTCCAATAACATAATGACATGCATGATAAAAAGAAATTCCACCATGGCCATGAACTGGAACCACTGGTGATAATGATAATAGCCATTAGAGAGCAACCCCATTTGGTCCAGCCTATAATTTGCTTCCTCCAAACAAGCGTAGCATGTCCTCCTCTCTCTCTACACAACCAGCTGTGCTTGAGCAGCATTTCGCGCTGCCCCATCATTGTCCACTGCAACAAATTGCCTCTGTACAGTTCGACACTGGTGACAAAAACCCTGCAGTTCCACCAGGTAATTTCCTCCCATTTTGTACCTAACCTCTCCTGGGGCTAATGACTCTGGCGGAAGCAGGTGCACGTACAGCCGGCGTGCACATAGTGGTTTCCCCTCGGCAGCCTGAATGTGTTACTGCAGAGGAGGGGGGAAATCCGGGTGTTACACATACATGGAGCCACAACTAATTACTGGCTTCTGTTTATTGCAGAAGGAAAACTGTGGTCACGACTTGTGTGTGGGCGTCGAGCAGGGCACCCGAATGGATTTACTTTTGTTTTATTCAATCAAAAGCAAAATATAGGCTATATAAATGCAAATGTATACCCAAATCCAAATGACACATTCAAAACAAACACACTTGTCATACGATTGTAACCCTGACCTTCAGTAATGGACCTCTAATGAGCTGGCAGGCGTGAAAATCTAGCCGTTGTTGCCACGTAGGTTCAAGACAGATGGTACGTTGCTTTTGACAAAACACATCTACCAGGTTTACACTATGTAACCATGGATTGTAAAATAACAAAATAAGTGAAGGTTTGACAACTGTGAGAGGGGGATGCAACATTAACATGCGGGCTTTGGATGTGTGCCTGAGCATTTGCAGCATCATTTAAAAAAATAAATAAATAAAAAACACTTAACACATTTCTTGAATTCTGTCTGAACAGAGAGCTGAAGCCTTTCACATCAAGAGGATAAGTGCTTTAGGTAAAGAGGGGGTAATTCTGGGTTCATCATGTAAATAAGACTAATCAGAAGCAGACGGGTTCCTTGCCTCATCGGTGCCTGGTGGCAAAGCTTTTAGGCTTTGCAACGATCTGGAAACGAGAGGGTGACACAAACATCAGCAGTTTGTTTTGCTTCCCTCGAGCAGTTTTAGAGAGTTCAATTTAAAAAAAGCTGTCAGTGAAAAGTCCTTTAAAATGAACTGGTTTTACTTCTCTAGCATGCTGATTACATAACAAGCAGTAAAGCCTAAAATTCATTCACACAGTACTTCTGCAGTGAGACACTTTTCCCCTGGTATCACCTTTGATTTGAAGTGATACGAGCAGAATATGTATCAGTCCACACCTATAAAACTGCTCGTGACTGCTTCGTCTCCCTATCATGCCTGCCAGCTGGGGACAGCTTGCCAAGAGTAGGCACACAGGGGGTTAGGAGAGGTTTGAAGGCAGCTATCAGATATCCTAGCACCTGCAGTTTATCATAGGAAAGTGCTGATGGCTTCTGCTGCAGAAAAGCTAGTTTGCCAATAAAATCTGCATTTCCCTTTGTCCAATTGTCTTCCCATTTTCCTGAACAGATCGGTGTACAATTCCTGGACAAGAAAACATTCTTAGTGTTTTCTTGGAACACAAACAAAATGGAAACATGTCCAGTCTGGTACCAATCTGTTCAGGAAACTGGGAAGTCGATTGGACAAAGAGAAATGCAGAGTTTATTGTCAAACTGGCTTTAAATGTGGCTGCACAGGCTATAACACCTGACATATCGACTCCCCTGTGTCTCTGACTCAGTGGCTTCATGTGGACTGAGTGTCTGTTCTACTGGGATGGAGCGGAGGAACAGGCACTTGAAGCCGTCGCAGTCTGCCAGTTTCTTGTGATAAAGTTAATTGGCAGATAAATTTGGAAACAGAAAATGCCTGGCAGCACCCACCAGAGAGAAACTCACAGGAGAAGTCAGAACTGCTTTCCTGGTTGACTCATCAGAGCAAAAGCTGAACCACTGAGTTGGAAAATATCTGGTCCTTTGATTAAAAGACAAAAGATACACGCCTGTACAATTCCTATTTCAGTAACGAGTTCTGCTGACTGTGATGAATTTAGTAGCTCTGGTTACAGGTTTTGTTATATCAGAAAGTATTTTGGCTTTGATACAGTTCTTCTTTTCCATAGCAGGCTCATGAATATTAGTACATAAAGCCATTACCACACCAAAGCCAGTGTTAATTGTATTAAACTATTACATGTAGCACCCACAAGTCCAAAGTAGCCATTGTGATGAGATGTTTCATTCTGAGGAGCTCCGAATATTCATAATTAATAAACTAACTTTGATTCCAGGCATTTGCCGACCCCCAGAACGAAGCTGACCGTCTGCTATGTTTCAGCTGACCAGGCTCTCTTACCGAGTTGGTCCCCAGGACCTGCAGGTCTGGTTCTCTGGACTCCAGCAGCTTGGCCACCATGTGCAGGAAGCTCTCCACGAAGGGTTTGATGCTCTGAGAGTGACAGGCCATCAGCAGCTGGTCCAGAGCCTCCATGGCTATGACCACATACCTGTGAACAAGTAATGCTTCATCAAGGGGGTTTACCTCGCTTTACAGATGTATAGGAAAAACCACAGAGGGGTCACAGGTGACAGTCAGCTATTTACTGTCTTTTTTTTTTTTAAATAACAAAAGACATGACCTTCTAAAACATCACAGTTTCTTTTGCCAAGAACCATTTAACCAGACAACAGCCAAGTGCTGCAGTTTGTACTTAAGGCAACTCACAGAATCGGGGTCAATCAGCTACCGGAGGTCAGAGGTCAATATTTACCTGTGTCACCTCATAAGCTGCTGACAAAATGGAGAATCTTAACAATAAATGTTTTAATGTAGAAATGTGAATTTCTCACAAGCCTTTACAGAATGTGTTAAAACGGCATAAATACAGATGAGTCACTGCACTGGAAGGACGAGTGCTTCAGGCAAGGCCAAGTGGTTTGGTACCGACACGTGGACAGATAAATGGGAGAGGGAGAGAGATGTTTGTTCTGACTGTCAGGAGAAAAATCACCACCCCCTGGCGTTAGAACCGCTGCCAGTGGTCGTTTAGAAATACAGGAGGAACAGTTTTGCCTCTCAACTCACTTTAATGACGTTCCAGGAGCAGTAAGCAATGAACGTTTCCTGGAAATAGGAATTTACCTATTCTTAGTGTCTTTTTTAGGGGTGTGTTTTTATTTTCAAAATGATTTTTCTCTCTCTTACACAGCTGCTGCGCACGGCGCCGCCCTGCTCATCAGTGTCGTGTTCAGGGCCGCACCAGTGGCAACAACATTTATGTAAAATCACTCCGCTTCTCAGAAGACAAAAACAACATCACTCACCCAGAGCGATGCCGCACCACATCTCTGCTCAGTCTCTCGGCCAGGTAAGCTCCGATCCTGTCCAGCTTCTCCGGAGCTGACACGGCGTAGAAGGTCAGCTTCTCCATGTCGGATTTGCTGAGGCCATCCTGAACAAAAAGAGCCCAGTCAACATTTATACTTTGACATATGTAACAGAAGGAATTTGTTTTTTGTTTTTTTACATAAACCAAGACAGGGGTCTGACATCAGTTCAGTTATTAAACCGTGAAGGCATCAGATTTGTGGTGTTCCTTTTCCCAGTTCATCTGGTTTTGGTCCAAGTCCAGTGTGAAGTCAAATGAGGAAAAAAAAAGTCATGTCAGAGCAATGGCAGCCTCAGTGTCCATTTAAAACATCACAGGATGGTTCTAATGAATAGTTTGGATTAGTTTCATCTTCTATCAAAGCCAAGTCCATTAAATCCTGGCTCCTCTCTCCGAACTCTCCTTGACACTGACATTAAAAATCCAACACTTATGTTAAATGGCCTGTGAATGCGTTTGATTCAGCACTTCAGCTTTGATGACAAATGACTGAACACCGCAGATCACTGCTCAAAAATATCAGAGTGAAATGCTGCGTTATCAGAGATCTACCCAACACATGCCGCTCTTCAGTAGGAGGAAAAAAAATTAGACTATCAAATTGTCCTTACATTATACTGATTCCACTTCTGCTTCATTAAAACTAATGAACAGAGTTCACATGCTGGTGATCAAATCAAGATTTTATGCCATCTGAGAATGGGAAAAAGGAAGTCCATTCCAGATTAACGGCCTCTTCAGAAACAGTGAGGACTCTGTGTGAACTCCAGCATTGAGCTGTACATGGCGACAGACAGAGGATTGAAATACATCGCCACCAAGTGTTGCACATAAAGAGGAGGGAGTTAATTCAAGGCCAAGCGTCTCACGGGCGTTTCCAGTTCCTCAAGGCTCTCAACAAGGGATAATTAATTTGACAAGGTCTCGACCGTGGGAGCGTTTCGACTTCCCAGAGCACCCGTTTCCTTATAACAGAGGCCCTTGAGAAGATATGTGGGGAAGACATGGAAAAAAAAAAAAAGTCCCTTATGAACATCTTAATCCAAACCACATGCACAATTAGCATTTTAATTAACACAGGCTGAAGAACCAAACAGGCGCTAAGTTGTTGTGGTCCAGTTATCAAAGCCGTGTCACATTGAATAATCAGATCTATCAAAGGCTGATGCTTTCGTGTGGCTCCGTGGTCGTCCAGTTATTTCAGTGCTGTCGCAGTGAAGCTCTGTGGTGTCAGTGAGTCTCCACAGCAATCTCACCACTGTCACAACAACTGGGCACCAAAAACAGTGTTAATAACCCACTGAAGGCCCACACCGTGTCCAGCGTACTAACAATGATACTCTGACACTTACAGCAGATTTACTGAGGTGTTTCTGTGCTTCTATCCTCACCCGGTGTAACATTATTTATAATTTCACCCCACTACCGACTGAGCCCGCTGAACACGATATGGCTCAGCTCCAAATCAAGACCACAACACCGTCACAGTATTTGTTGTGGATGCTCAAAAGTGATTTTGGTGACCTCGATAAATTTAACCCCCCTGTGCCAGCTTTGTAGACAAGATGGTGAAAAGGAGAAGCCAAATATCCTGGTCACATTCTCGCTTCCCAGAGGATGAAGCTTTTACATTCCAACAATCCCATGACCTTTTCTCTAGAGCGGCCACTGAAGCCACAGTTTAGTTTTAAGATTCATCAAAATGTTTGTTGTTCCACATTCCCACTGTGGAATTAATGCACACTGCAACCTCCAGGGGGCTGTAGCAGGACTGGGTACACACAGCATCACAGCTGGGACGCAGTGTGAAAAGGCCATGCCCTCATCACCACTGGCAGTGAGGGTTATTTACATATCAACTAGATATACTGCATGACGACACATTACCTCCTGAAAAGCCCTTTCTGTTGGATCTTAGGTCTAATCAAATACTTCGTTAAATGGACACTGACTATTTTTAGTTACAGTGAAGTCTGCGCCCAGAGGTATGCCGACCGTTACAAACATCTGGTGCATTTAACATTCAGATTATTTCATTATTGAATATTTTAAGCTTGGCTGACATCTAATGTGAACGATGCTACAATCACACACAGAGGTGTTAGCATCCTTGTATCCTAAACAACCTTCACTGAGGATGTGATTGCTTGCAGTTACTTACTTTGGGATCCTCAGGAAAGATGTTGTCCACCAGGCGTTTGTACCTTGGCCTCAGTGGCCCACAGCAGCCACAAACCCCTGTAACAAACAGCAAAGACACGACCATTAGGCAAAGGTTAATTAGCAGCTGACGTTATGTCCAAAACTCCTCCAACAGAAAATTTAGAACATACAAAAGATTTTTTTTTTTAAAGCACAAAATCAAAGTGTTCTCAACTCTCAAAGCCTTAAATTTCACCAAAGAGCACTTTGAAAACTTGGCAGTGAAAATATAAATGAATGGATCTAGGAAGGTACATGCATGGAGTAAAGTCAGCATCAAACATTCAGCTGGCAAATGAAGACTGACACCCTGGCAGCGCAGTTGGCTGGAAAACACATTTCTATTTTTATAGTTTCCTCTACTGACTCATGTGGACCTCTGGGAGTGGCTGAGACGATCCGAACTTACTCTAAATTCAAGAGCTGGCCCTGAGAAGTCATCTGCTATCGACTAACATGAATTAGTATTATCAGCTGCAGCCTCTGAGTCAATAGTGAGTCACGAGGATCGCGGCTGGGCAGCCTGGGGTGAATAAGTCACAGTGGAAACAATTAGCTGACTGTTCAACCACCAGGAAACTCCTCCAGTGATCTGACTGTGGTGTGTTCAATGACACCAGAATGAACAAGAAAAAAAAACTGCCTGTTTTGATCCAGTTTAGTGCTTTGAGGTCAATACTATCAACTGACATGATACATTGACCAGTGGGAAACAGCTCTTTTACGTTTCATACAATGAGCAGGCCTCCAGGCGTGGCTGGCAAGTTGAGGAGCGTTCACAGGGAGTGACTGAGATGTGAGGAGGGACAACGGTGAGGCTGCAGCAGGTTCATCTCACAGCACTATGTTACTTTACATGAAAACAACCAGGACACAGGGGCAGTGTGAAATAAGTGAAACCCATGTTCCGACTAACTACAGGACAGAAAGCAAGAGCTCAACAGCCTGGAGCTTCTGATGTCACCAAGTGCAGTCATGGAAAGCAATAGGTGCCATTTTGAAAGCATCGCCCCCTGTAGGTGAGGAGTGTTATACCTGCAGATTTTCTTCCTTTAGCTGTTGTCATTTTAGCACCAACACTTCTTTCAAATGAAATTCTGAATGCAGGACTATAACTGAAACCAGAGATCCACTGATTTTTTTGTTTACAATTTATAGATAACTTTCCAGGGTTATAAACTCCTCTCTGCAAATACATGATGTGTTAGTCAACCTGGATCATGTTCCAGTGCCACACCAGCACAGGCCCCGGTGCTGCTTTAATCCAAGGCTATTCTCGCTGCTTAGGCCAATGAGAGAGGGATTTTCTGTTTCAAATGTACTTTTAAAGCATCATCAGCAGGTGAACACAACAGTTAAGCTAGTACAGCTCTACCTGCTGTTTAGAGAAAGTGAACACTTGAAACTGCAGTTATGCCTCAGACCTTTGAAATAAATCCGCTCTTCTCAGAACAATTACAATATTTCATTGATTCTGCCTTTGACTCTTCCAAAGTGCCACTTTAACAAAAATACAGACAGATGCTAGAACTGAAAACGGTGCTTTTACAACAGCCTATAATTTATACACACTGAAGCAGACGGAGTGAAAACGGTGTTCTCACAGTCGAAGCGATCTCAAATCAACTGAGATCACGTGGAGCAGTTTTACCGAGTCTTGTCCAAAAGTCACCTATTGATCAGCAGATCCTACACTAATCCATCCTTTACAGACCAACGTTGCACTCCTGCTCAACAGAGGAGCTGCATCTTCAGATAAGGTTCAAGGATATTGAGTTATTTCAGTGAATATACATTATACCACTTCTTCACTAGACTGGCGACCTGTCCAGGGTGGACCCAGTCTTTCGCCCAGAGTCAGTTGGGATTGGCTCCAGCTCCCTGTGACCCTCTTCAGTGGTATTAGATAATGGACGGATGGATGATCACTTCTTCACTCACCATAAACAGACTGATCTCAAAGCACAGATGTGGACAGTGAAATAGAAAACGTTCTATTCACGTGATACTGTCCATGATCATTCATCCATTATCTTCCATTCAGCTAGGCGGCCCAGGCAGCCCTCTTGACGTTTTCCTCCTAGGAGGCCTAGAGGCGTTTCCCAGATGAAATGTGTATATAATCTGTGCAGCATGTTCTGAGCCTGCTACCCTGTTAGACGTGCCCAGAAGCCCTCTAGTGGAAGGCACCCAGGAGGCATCCTAATCAGATGCCCGAACCACCTCAGCTGGCTTCTTTCAATACGAAGGAGCAGCAGCTCTGCGCCAAACACCAAGCTCCCTCCACATGTCTGAACTCCTTTATGCCCATCTTGATATGGTAAACAAAAATTCAACAAACTTCCATCTTTTATCACTGCTAACTGGGACAGCTGTTGTGTGTTCCAGCAAGGAGGAAGATTCACAAAGTTGTCTACCACCTCCATTTTATCCCTTTTTTTCCTGGATGTTTACTGTAATGGTAGAATTTTATTTTGTGCTCGGTGTTAGACTTGTCAAATCTACACAGGTGCACATTTGCTAAAAATGCCGGCTTCCCACTGTTTTTTTGTCTCGTAGTGAGAGGTAGTGATTGTTGGCAAGAATCTAAGGCAAGCTGAAAAAAAACATGGGAGGTATACCAGCAAGAACTTTCATCGGTTTGGTGCTAATTGCTTTGGGAATCAATCCAAAGTCACCAGATTTGTTGTGGTTTACTTCAGAGAAACAGTTTGAAAAGTTAAACTTGCTGCACAAGTCACATAAAAGCCTGTTATTCCTTAGCGCTTCGTCCCCATCACAGCTTCACCGTGGAAGTCTGACCTGCTTATTTACAACCTTTACACTTAATAAGGTGAAGATGCATCAAACATGCACTGACTCCACAAGAGTCAACGCACGTGTGTGTGCGTGTGCATGTAGACACTGAAGATGAAGCCAAACACCTGGGAAGCTGCAGCTCCTCGTGCACAGGGCGTTCACAGACGGCAGCTGGATGTGCCCGAGGACAGTGCTGCAGCGATGGAGGTGTAATGACAGCTTTCTATTTCCATCCTCATTATTCTGCCTCCGATTCGCTCCTCCACAGACACTTGGGGTGAAAATGAATCTGCCTTAATGAGAGTTTAGCTTAAGTGTCTGACTGAGGGCGTGTGTGTGTAATTATGATATGATACCACTTCACGCCTGGAGGTGAACTCTGCCTCCACATGATGCAGAGGAAACCATTAGAAACTACACAGTAAATAAATGATCTTAAGTTTGATCTCCTGTGTATCACAGCCTGATGCCTCTGCCCCGCCCCCTCTGAGCCACAAAGCCCCACTGTGTCCAGAAGCTAACCCACGGTTGCACCGGCATGTTCCTCCATCCCCACGATCACACACACACACACACACACACACACACACACACACACACACACACACACACACACACACACACACACACACACACACACACACACACACACACACACACACACACACCACAGCAGTCTAGTTAGACTCAGGACCACACACACTGTCATGCTGCCACAGACACTCACTAAAGGCCAAAGGTGGATTCATCTTGTTTGTTTAAATAAACCTACGTATTTTAGAGAGTTATCTTTTCATCAGAAACCAATGGGCTGGAGCTAAGAGCCACAGACAGGAGTTACCACTGTTGTCTTTTAACTCTAATAAGCTTTATAAAACACAATTAAAGAAAGTAAGGTCACATTTTCAGACTAAACTGGTTTCAGGTGATGTCTCGGTGTGTTAGCAGTAAGGACGTCTGGCCTGGCCAAGAGGAGGCCTTTCCTCCTCTAACTGTGGCGCTATTGTCAGTGTAAGGTCAGTACAATAAATTAAGGGTAAATAAAATTGGTTGTTTTTAAATATTACAAACTATAGTACAACATATTTTGCTCCTACAGATGGCTAGCTAATTCTGATAATAAGATAATCTTTAATTTAATTCAAGATAAATTTTAAAAGATCTGCAGCAATGACAGTTAGCTATGTACTGATTATTCATTTGGTTGAAAAGCCTATTAACTGGAGCCTCCTAGCCTTACTTAGTTATAATGCGAGCTGCTTTTATTAGTTTTCTGTTAATGTAACCACAATATATTTGCAAACAATCTGAAGATTTCACCCTGGGATCTGAGAAACTGAGCAGCGTATTTCCTGTTTTTTGTAACAGACTAGAATATTAGCAGATTAATTCATATTCATACCAAATGTAAGTTGAAGTTGTGCTCTAATCCTGTTACTCTTGTGGCATTTTATAGCGCAGGTGAACAATGCCAAGTTGACTGCATTCAGCCCCCCACTCAGTTTGTTTGTTAAAACCCATTGTATTGTAATAGAGGTGACACATCAACTATATGCAGCCATTTCTGCACATCTAATCGCAGCACACAAATCGCAAGACTGTGGTGGCCACATGGGCTGATAGACTCCCCAACACAACACACTCAGATGGCCAAGAAGAGAAAATTAGAGAGGACTGAATCCGTCATCCTGCTGTGATGAAACACAGAGGCAGAGAAGTTAAGAAATGTTTATGCAGCCACCTGCTCCTGCATGTACAGAGACTTCACTGGAAATATGTACTAGAGCGGGACATTCACAGACATGAACTTGAGCAACGTACAGCATTAGATGTTCACGTTTAGATACAGCAGGGGTGGCCATAGTTTGCCGTCACTTTTCTACCAAGCATGCTAATTATGCTAACAACCAGTCAATGCAAGAACGGATGGCTACTGCTCAGAGGCTGGCAGCTACTTTGCAGGCTCAGCAAAACACCTTTATCCGACAAACTGCCATCCAAGAGTCAAGCACGAAGGCAGGTTATTTGCTGGCATTCAAATTAACAAAGACCAGCAAGCCTTTCTCTGAAGGGGAGTTTCTCAAAGAGTGCATGGTAGAGACAGCAGGTATCTTGTGTCCTGAGAGCAAGAACAAGTTTGAAAAAATTAGCTCATCACGCAGGACAGTGACTCGCCGTGTTGAGCTAATTGACGAAGACTTAGCTAGCAAGCTAAACAAAAAAGTGGTCATTTACAT